ATGTCAGACTACCCGAATTTGCCCCCATCTCTCGTAGTCCAGGTCAACCTCCACCTTGACATAGTCGAGCATTGAATCTAGCAGTTCCCATCGAAGCCTCGAGGGTGCATCGGCGATGTTACTTGGGGATGGCACCCTGGTGTACCAGTTTAGGCTGTTGTTGCTAGCGTCCTGCAGCATTGCCTCGATCAACATCTTTCTACAAGCCTCATCAGACTTGGTTACACCAGCCACTAATGCCTCCTTGACACCCTCGTTGTCAATGAAGTACAACACTCTCGCACCTCTGAGGAGTTGAGGGAAATGCCTCTTGATAATCACTATGGGCAACATTTCGGCTTGAGCAATCACATGCTCGTGACCAAACCCTTGCCATTCATCAACGATCTTTGGGGGAATGTTGAGCCCGAAGGCCAGTGGTAATTCTGTTCGCGGAGACAGGACCACTGCCCCGCAAGAGGCAGTGCCCCCTTCATACGTACCATCCGTGAAGATCAGGCACGGCATCTCATTGTTCACCGCCTCCAGTCGTCTCGGGGGAGCAGTCCTCAACAGATCGGCCGACAACCTGAGTGCTTTGCGAATCTCACTTGTCACCCCTTTAACACTTCTACTCATCAGTGCCCTCTGCTTCACGGGGCCCAGGAGGGGTGCCAACCATCTCCCACTGCACTGTGCCTCAGCAAAGTTCAACCTGCCATACACCTTAGCTGCCGTGGCGGCCGGGAAGGACTGGACTGCTTCCATCTCTTCTATTGTGGCTTCCAGTTCTTGCACTCTATCCTCTTTGTTACGTACTAGCACCACTCCGTCATTGGACTGACTCAAGTCTACCACCACACCCAAGACTACAAACTTCCTAGCCGGTGGGATCCTCTTCTTGGCTTCCTCTGCAATGCCCCAGCCCAAAGTGCGCATGGCCTCTTCCATGACCACCTGAGTCTTCACTACCATCTGCCCTAGGTCAACATGCGGGAAGTCGTCGAAGTAGTTGATCACTGGGATCAAAAAGAACCTCTGTAGCACCTCTCTCAGTGCCCTGGCCGCCCGATTGAAAGCCATCACGGACCCCGTCGCTCCAAACGGGAGAACATAGGAAATAAAGTACTTCACTTCATTGCTCTGGGGCTCTAGGACTGCGATGACCGCACAATTCCGGTCGGTCGGGGACAGGGGCAGTTGCTTGTATGCAGCCTTGAGGTCAAGGCACCTACCACTCAGTTGCAACTCCTTGCCTCTGAACTCCTCCCCTTTCCGCCCCTCCAGCACCAGTCCCGTGGACAACTCGGCCCTGACTTGGTCACTCGCACCCCCAAAGGTCCTCATCCATGCAGCCGCCAACGAGACTACCTCGTCGACCCCACCAAGGTCCAACTTCTCACCTGGGCCATAGCACTGATTGACCGCGAATTCGCTGAGGTCGTCTATGTTCCTCACCTTTGCTCCCTGAACTATGCCGAACCTTCTACTCGGCGTCCACAATGGCCCAACTTCTTCGGTCACTTGGCCTGCAGTGAAGGGTCCTGACAACCATCCCCTCTCCGCCTCCTTCAGGGTCGCCTCCCACACCTCATGCGCAACACTGACATGGCCCCCAGCAACACTCGCCTGTCTGCCCTGCATATGTCTCGGGACTCTGGAGGACACCTCCTGCTGGGCCGACTTTGCTGCTCGCCACAGGTCTTCCCTGTCGAGCATTGGTGGCTTGCATTCAGGTGCAAAACAGCCTGTGACTCTGCCTTCACCTGTGATCCTCATGCCGTGACACATGTCCTCTACCAGGTGGGTATCCCCATAACCGACTGTCTGGATGAGCTCGGCTAGCACAAGCAGTTTCTTGGGTGCCAAAACTTCAGCAACTTTAGTCTCCATGTTGGCGTGTAGCTCTTGCTCTTGTGTTTCAAGTTCTTGCACTCTCTGCTTCAACCACCTCAACCTACGAACTCTCTCTTCATGTATTTCTTGGGTGCCTTTGGTCAACACTTGAAACATGCTGTCGACGACGTGGTCTGGCGTCTGAAATGCTGTGTCAAACGGGTGTTGCAACTGCTGGGCTCTCCGGACTGCCTCCATAGGTGTCATGGGAATGCCGAAAATTACTGACCTGCTTGCCCCGTCCCCGTGGTCTTCCCCCTCATTGGACGGTAAATGGCGAACAATTCTGGTGCCTTCTGGGAAAACTAGGTCGGCGAGGGCGACTGTGGTTTTGGATCGGCCACTCCAGGCCAAAACTTTGGCTACATCACGGGGTTTGTCCACGATGATGTCCACCACTTGTCCATCCTCCGGCAACATTGGCTGGGCACGTCGCCCCTTAGGCTGCTTGCCGGCTGCCACCCTCCAGGTGGTGGATGCCTGGTGGGCAAGCGGGGTGGACCGAGGCTCAGGGTGGACCGGTAGTTGTCGTTCACATGCCCTCCTACTGATGATGGCTGCAATGCGTTGGCATAACAACAACGGGTATTCTGCTTCACTAGCTGTGTCGTACTGCCACTTTCCGTTAAGTGTCTTGCTGACTGACCACCCTTTGCGCGTGTGATGTTTGTCGCACATCACGCCCAACTGACACAGTTGCTCGCAATTGTGGAGGAGTGAGGTCTTCTTGTCTCTCTCCCCTCCGTGCATACACACTTGGAATGTGGTAAAGTACACACCTGCAAGCTGGAACAACTCCGCAATGCATGGGACCATCCACATGTAACTATTGGTGGGGTTCTCGATGAACACG